CATTGTGCAGAAACACAATGAAGTGTTTGGGAATTTTCATTCTTCAGGATGCTATCCATCATTTGTATAATCCACACAGTTGAATGCCTTTGTAGAGTCAATAAACCCCCCTGGGAAACATCTTTCTGCTATATCTTGCTTTCAGCCAAGCTTCATCTGATGTCAGGAACGATGTCCCTCCTGCCATATCCTTTTCTGAAACAGACTTGAATTCAGGCAGGTCCCAGTTGGTGTACTGCTACAACCATTTTTGAATTATCTTTAGCAAAATCTTGTGTGTGTGATATGAAGGCTATTGTTTGCATCTTTCTACATTCTGTTGGGTTACCTTTCTTTGCTGTTGTGAGGTGCCTTTGAGTCAGTACCTATGCACAACCTAACCGGACACCGCCTGGTGCTGCACCTCCCTCACAGCTGTTCTGTTTGAGCCTCTTGTTGCAGCCAGCACGTCTGGCCATCTCATCAAGGGTCTGCCTCTTTTCCACTGCCCTACTACTTACCACACGATGCCCTTCTCCAGGGACTTGGTCTCTCCTGACATGTCCAAAGTACCTTTCTTTAGATGGGCACAAATCTGCATCTCTTCTGCTTAGCTGGCCAGGTAGCTCATTCCTCGGCTCTGCATCATTGGGTTAATCTGCTGCACAAGATCTCTTTAAAGTGCTGAGAAGCAAGGAAGTGACTTTGAGGACTGAGAAGCATGCCTGACTCAAGCCCGGTGTCTTCAGTCGCTTCATATGCGTGTGAAAGCTGGGCACTGAATAAGGGAGACTGAAGAGGAGTCAGTGCATTTGCATGGCCGTGCTGGGGAAGAATACTGAAGATACCATGGACTGCCAAAAGAACAAACAAGTCTGTCTTGGTAGAAGTCCAGCCAGAATGCTCCTTAATGGCAAGGACGGTGAGCTTTTGTCTCATGTACTTTGGACACGTTTTCAGAAGATGCCAGTCCCTGGAGATGGACATCACGTTTGGTAAAGTGTGAAAAAGAGGAACGCCCTTGACAAGACGTGTTGTCCCAGTGGCTGACACACTGGGCTCAGGGATAGGAATCGTTGTGAAGATGGTGCCGGGCCGGGCAGGGTTTGCTTCTGTTGTGCATTGGGTCACTGTGTTGGAACCGACTCAATGGCACCTACCAACAACACCTCACACAGTGTTCTGCTGCTGTGCATAACGGTGTCACAGCCAATTGTGTTTTCGAAGTATCTTACCAGGTCCTCCGCGATAGTCCAGTTTAGTCTGGCATGCCTGAAGAAACCTGACCATCATGGCGATCCTGCTGGGATTTGTCTTACTGGTGACATAACTTCCAGCATCACAGTGATAAGCCAGCCAACTCCACTGCCATCAAGTCTATGTGACCTGTCAGTGAGCTTCGATAGAGTTCCCGAGGCTATAAATCTTGACAGAGGCAGGCAGTTTCATTTGTCGCCTGTGGAGCAGCTAGTGGTTTTGAACCCATGACATTTCCATTAGAAGACCAATGCTTATCCCACAGAGCCCCCAGGTGAACAAATCTAACTATCCTAATGGGTGGGAAGTGATACCTCTTTGTAGTTTTGATTTGCTCTTCACTCTTGACTAGGGACCATAGGAGTCCCAGTGGCATAGTGGTTATGTCTTGGGATGCTAACCTCAAGGTCAGCAGTTCGAAACCACCAGCTGCTCCATGGGAGAAAGATGGGACTTTCTCCTCCGTCAAGAGTTAGAGTGTTGGAAACTCACAGGGGCAGTTCTACCCTGTCCTATAGGTTGCTATGAGTCAGCATCGACTCCAGACCCCGTGGCAGTGAGTTTGGAAGGACTAGTGATGGGAGCCATGGTGGTGCAGTGGTTAAGCATTCGGCGGCTCTTATCTAAGAGGTTGGCAGTTTGAACCTACGAGTTGCTCTGTGGGAGAAAGCTGTGGCAGGAAACATTATAGCCTTAGCAACCCTAAGGGGCATTTCTGCTCTGCTTCTAGGGTCACTGTGGGTGGGAATGATGGCCAGCGGGCACTGAGTGTCTGTTCCTGGGCTGATGGACCACTGGTCTATCTTCGTTGGAGAACTGTAACATTAGTGCTTGTTTGCTCAGGCTCACAATGGTTAGTTATTAGTTAATGATCTTCACCACCAAATGTTGAATCCAAGACTGATTAAACATTTGGGTAATCTCAGTCTTAAGATGGGATACACCCTTTTCCAAGATCTCTGCTTCCTCTCCAGTTTGTTGGGAGGCAATGAGGACAAAGAGGCACACAGGTGGATGGAGCTCCCTAAAAACACATGGGCCCCTAGTACCCTGTTTCAACCTAAGTATCAACTTCCTGGGTCACGGACCAGGCTGTACCATGTGGACCATGTTCTCTCTCTGCTGCTGGCAATTTGCTGCTAGAAAACCAGGTTTGATGGCACCCATTTCCTCCACTGCTGCCACTTTTAATTCCTCACCTCTACTTAATTTTATTCCTTCTTTATTTTTATCGTGATCTGATAGCCAAGTAAGCAGTAGACAGCTGTCTGCTCCAGTAAGGATGTACAGCCTCGGAAACCTTATCTGAGGTAGTGCTGAGTCAGAGTCAATTGAACGGCAGTATTTTTGTTTTGCTGACATATTTAGGAACGCTGGTGGCATAGTGGTTACGAGGTAGACTTCGATCCGCAAGGTGAGCAGTTTGAAACCACCACCAGCTGCTCTTCGGCAGAGCATGGGGTTTTCTACTCCTGTAAACAGTTGCAGTCTTGGGAACTGCCCTGTCCTATGCGTCAGCATTGACTTGATGGCAGTGAGTCGTTTTTGTCTTCTAGTATCACCATCTGATGCTATGCATTTTACTTTTTTATTAAAGAGCTCACATATTTCTTACTGAACCAACCTAATAGTGCCGAAGCAAAGAAACAATGGAAGAAACCAGAAATACCCCAACTCAACGTGCTCATTGTTCAGACAGGGGTGGAGTTTTCAGCTTGATGTGGTAAGATGCTAGTGAACTTGGGAGAAACATCAACCTATGTGTGACTCCTTATAGACTCTGCTTGGTTCTTCTCCAATGTCTCTTTTTGGAATGGGACTTGATGTTATTACCAGTTTTATTTGAGTCCAGGGGAGGCTAAGGATGATTCTGGTTTTGTTTTGTGGGGGGATGATACAGCTAGGGTGGAAGTTGGCCACCTGTCCATGATGGCTGAAAAAAGGAGACCGCGTGGTATACTACTCTTTATTCCCTTTCCTTCAAGTGCAAGCTCTGCAGAGGCAGAAACCACTGCCTCCTTTGTGCACTGTGGGCTACTCAATGCCCAGAACAGTGCTTGGTACCCAGGAACTATTTGTGTGAGATGACTGCTCTTGACTTCAACACCTTCCATGACTAGTGGGCCCATACTCCACTTTTACTTGGTCGCACTGCATCGCTCAGGGAGTGAAGCCATCTAGGGAAGCTTTGGAAAGGGCACAAAATGAGTTGGCAAAATGGACTTACTGGCAGTGAGTGAGTGTGTGTGAATCTAAACCTGAGAGAGTCAAGGACAAACTTCAGAGGCTCCGAAAAGCCTGGCCGAAGCACAGAACAGCTTAATAAAACTAAATTATACTTGTATGCAAAATTACATAGCAATTACGACGACCACAATGCATTAAAAACCTAATCTGCTGTGTAATTTGCTAATTGCTTTGCCATGGCATGGCTTTATTATTCACAATGTCCCTATAGCTTATGTAACTTGCTTATGTGATGACTCGATAGCCCCTGAATGGGAAGCACAGAGGTACATGCTCCTGCTCCCGGCCTAGCTGGGGCCCGCAGCCTCTCTTCTCACTTACTCTCTTTGACCCCCGTTCCTGGTCAGTGGCAGGTCGGAGAGGATTCTCTCCTCTCTTTTACCCTGCTCCTGTGCCCACTCAGCCACTTGGCATGCTTCCCCGAAATGGCGTGTACTCTTTTGAGACTGTAAAACCTGAAACTTCTCCCATCCTTTATAAAAACCCACTTGGACTACAAACCATCCTCTATAAAAACCCACTTGAATCACAAACCACAGCATGAATTCTTTCTTCTGCAAAGCCAAGGACCCAGGTGTTTCCCACCTGAGAAACCTAATACCTATAGAACTTAATAGTGCTTGAATACATGAGTCTTTGAGTAATGAAGGCCTGGGCTTGGCTCACACACTAGTTACATGCCCTTCATTAAATTATTAAAATAAGCTCCACTTATTTAAGAAACCTATTTCTTGAATAAGCTCCAATTTCCTCACCTGTAAAGTGAGGATAGTGTATGAAGTTGAAGAAAGGATCAAGAGACCAAAGTGCTTAGCACAAAGCCTCATCTTTAGTCCACAGAACGGCTGGTGGTTTTGAACTGACCACTTTGGGATTAGCAGCCCAACACGTACCCACGATGCCACCAGAGCTCCCTTCTGGAACCAGGAGTTCTACATCGTTTATCCTCTAGGCTGCAAACTAAAAGGGTGGCGGTTATTCCAATCTTAGGAGAAGCCTTGGAAGAAAGGCTTGGCGATCTACTTCTGAAAATCACCCACCGCAAGTCCTGTGGAGCGCAGTTCTACTGCGGCACACGGCATCACTGTGCATCAGGATGGGCTCCACGGCCAATGCGCTGCTGCTTTTAAAGAGTCAGGCTTGGGAAGGAGGCTACACCCGGGAGAAGTTCAGGGCTTCCTTTCAGGACCTTTCCTACCTTCCTCTTGGAGATTTAATCGCTACCCCTAGAGAGACTCCGATTTAGAAGGGTGTGTTGGAGCCCTTTGTTGGAGCCCGATAGTGAGGAGGCCAGAATGGCTCAGCAAACATCCTTGGTTTTGTTAAAAATCCATCTGCTCCTACCTCCACTCCGGCAGGGATTTTCCGGTTTTCTCCGCGGACAATTCGAAGGGCACTGCCGGCTGGGGGCTGTAGTTTTTCATTCTTTGCGGGGCCGAGAGCAACCGAGAACTACAACTCCCAGAGACCCCTGCGCCTCCAGGAAGTGAGGTGTCTGCAGAAAAAAAAAGATGTCAGCGGGACGCTGGCGGTGTAGGGTTGTGGGTGGTTTTCGTATAAAGGAGCCGGGCCCTGCCCCTAACAGGGTTAAGGGCTTTCGGCACGTGAGGCGGTGACAGAGAAGTTCGGGCCTGGGAGTCCAGGGATGCAGATCCGGGGTGTGAGCAGGGGGCCCCGGTGCCAGGGCAGTTTGGAGCCAACCAGCAAGCCCCGCCTTGGCCTTAGCGAAACCCTTCCTTTTCCTTTTGCCAGGATCCTCCTGGGGACGGTTGCAGGCTGGGCTATGAGGACGCTTCCACTGCGCCCAGCCCCACTCGTACTTCCGGGGAGACTGCCCTGAGCCCAGGCTGGCGATGAAGAGCGACCCTTCGACATCTGCAGCCCCCCTCCGGGGCCTCGGGGGGCCCCTCCGGAGCAGCGAGCCGGTGCCCGCCGCCCCAGCCCAGTCGCTGGCGGAGGTTCTACTGGAGGAGGCGGCCGACCTCTTGGTGGTGCACCTGGACTTCCGGGCGGCGCTGGACACCTGCGAGCGGGCCTGCCGCAGCCTGGCCTGCGATGGCCAAGCCGAGGACCACGCCGGCACGTAAGTGCTAGGCTCGGTTCCTGTGGGGGGCTCTTGCACGGGCCTCAGAAACCTCAGGGTTTCTGACATTCTCGTATTGTACACAAGGAGTGTGAACAGCTTAAAACAATTTTTTGGGGGGGAGTGTAGTACCTTTCTGAAAGGTGGGCCGCTCAACCACCTATTTCCCGGGAGAGGAAACCGAGGCACACTGCACAACGAGGAAGAGTTGCTGAAGCCTCGTGGTAGAATGAATGTACATTCCGTGTTAAATTATGTCAGCAGGGGTGAGCAGGCGACAAAGCCTTTTCCTGATGTCCCCCAAGTATATATGCTCCCCGGACCTTTGCTGAGGCCGGACACTGGGAGTCAGGGCACTGGGAGTTCCTGTTGCCGTCCTGGAAAGGGCTTGATGATTGAAGAACCTGGAGAGAACCTTGGCCCTGGCGCTGCAACCTCTTCTGGCGACGAGGGGCACCATTTCTCTGGATGATGCAGTTGTAGGTCATGCCGGGGCGGAGGCCTCTGGGGAGAGAATGGGCAAAGCTGACACCCCCCCACCCCGCCCCCGAGGAACATATCCTGCGGACCCCTGGAGCTGAGTTTGGGAGGGTTGTGTGGGAGCTTGTTGCAGCGATGCGGAGGGCTGTTCCAGGCTGGATCTGGAAGGCGCCCCACCAGGTGGTGCTAAGGAGCTGGCCTGGGGTTGCACACAACTGCTCAATGCTCTTTGCTCACCTAAAGCAAAGCCTGCGCATGCTCCTTCCACCTACACACCTCTGCTAGGTGTAGTCATTTCCCTTAGGGTGGTCCCACCTGCTCATTGAAACCAGATTCTACTTGGACAACAGTTGATTTGTCCCCGGGGAGTTTATAGGAAGTGTGTGTGTGTGTGTGTGTGTGTGTGTGCAACAAAACATGCCATATGAACATTTTCCACATGTCTGTGAGTTAGTTCATGAGACCAGTGGTGAGCTCCCCCTTCTGCCTCTCCGCCATGCTAAGGGGGAGACCAGAGAGGAATCCTGCTGAGCTGAGGTCTGGGAAGGAACAGTCCCCAGGTAGAAGTGTCCACAGCATAATTTTTGTTTTCTCCCAGCAGCTCCTTGGAGGTGAAATGTGCCCTGTGTGTTGTGGGGATCCAGGCTCTGGCGGAAATGAATCGTTGGCAGGAAGCCCTCTCCTGGGTCCTTCAGTACTACCAGGACCCTGAAAAGCTACCCCCCAAAGTCTTGGAGCTGTGGTAGGTCCTTGTTGCCCAGCCTCTCCTTCCTGAGTCGGTGCTAGCTCTCCCCCGACCCAGTTCTCTCCCAATGTAATGACTGCCTAGTTCGTTTCTTAAAGCCCTCAAAACAGCAATAAAGGATGAGGTGACGGGAATTCAGGAAAAGGTCGAGGAATGGGGGACGACAGTGAGCGTGGGGGGTAGGAGGAATGAAGCTGGCTGGCAGAAGTGGGGCTCACTGGAATGGAGGGAGCTGCTTTTTAATTTGATAAAGAAATTTTATTTATTTTGTTGTTGAGACTATAATGCCTCGAAATGCACACCAGCAGTTTCTCCACGTGCCATTAAGTGACCGTCATCTCAGTCTGCAACTTGTGCAGCCGCCCTCCCCAGTGCCATAAGCTCACTGCCCCGAGGCTCTCATCTCCGCTCCCAAGTGGGATCCCACGGACATAGTCGGGAAAGAGCCTAATGCTCGAGGCAGTTTGTTTTTTTTAAACTGGTTGCGTAAGATAAACAAGTTAGCAAAACTACTGCTTAGCTTTTAAAAAAGACTTCAGGGGAAATTTTTGGTTTAAGGTTTAAAAATTATCTCAGGGGTTCATCCCGCCTTGTGGCTCCAGGAGTCCGGAGTCCCTGAGAATTTGATAGTTCTGCATTCTCTCCGCCTGCCTTTTAAAAAAATTTTTGATCAAGATTCTTCCATAGAATCTGGTCAGAATGCCCAGCAATGGTTGCTGGGCCCCCTCCAGGTCTGCTTTCACGGCAAAAGAGGCAATTGTTCTTGGAAGCAACTGTACCCATTCCACGGCCTCCTCTTTTTCACTGATGCTTTTCTTGATACTTGCTAAAACTCCTAATTCTTACCCAGAGGAAGGGTGTGGATAGGAGTCGGTAAACTGTTTTGAGGGCTGTGGGAGACTGACTGTTTTCTCTTGGGGTTTGGATTCTTTGGGGCTACAGTGTCCTCCTGTATAGCAAAATGCAGAAGCCTGGCATCGTGCTGGGTGTGGTCAGTGCCTGGCTCAGAGACTCACACAATCAGAGCCTTCCAGAATACAGAGCCTTGGCGGATCTTCACCTGCAACGGGTGCTGCTGCCCCTGGGCCGCTGGGCTGACGCGGAGGAGCTGGTGGTAGGCTCCGTGGCCTTGGGTGCGGAGCAGCGGCAGGATGCGCTCCAGGCCATTCGCACAGCCAGGCCACAGCGGAAATGCAGACATCCAGGCTCTGAGGAGGCCCAGGAGCCCAGCCTGGCAGGTAAGACATCACCCATGGTGGCCTTCATAGAGTGAAAGTTGTGGGCTCTCCTTGAACCTTGGGAGCCATCGTGGCATTCTGGAGAGCTCAGGAGCCAGGCTATCTATCTGAGAGTAACTCCCAAATGTACAGAGTAAGCAGCGTGCCTGGTAGCTCACCTGACAATGGGAAGAGACTGTCCTTGTGGGGAGGTGTTGCTAGGTCTCAGAACCTTGAGTCCCCCCCTCTTTTTATTTTTAACTTTTAAAATGGTGAATGAGGTGAATGTTTCCAGAGGAGACCATCAGCTTTACAGTCAACAATTCATACACATTCTGTTTCAACTCCTGCATCTTCAATCCCTTCATTGTACCATCTCTTATCCCACTTCTTCCCTGTGCCTCCCGTTTCCACCCCTCCTCCTTTCCGAAGCCTCGGAATGGTGCCTTGAGTAAATGCTGCCCTTTTGATCTCAAAAGGTTGATTATTCTAATGTGGGAGTGAGTTCAGTTCCAGACCTGAAAAGGTAACTAAGGGTCCTGAGTCTCAGGGTCCTGACCGGTCTCTATCTGACCAGTAAGCCTGGTCTCTTATGATTTTTCTCCCATTCTGTCCAGGACCTTCTAAAGTGATCCTTTTCAGGGAAGTTGGTGGTGGTAGCAGGGAACCCTTGACTCTTTATCTCTTGATAGTCATCATCCTTTTGGGGCTAATCAGTCACATTCTTCTAGAGCAGTGGTTCTCAACCTTCCTCATGCCGCAACCCTTTAATACAGTTCCTCATGTGTTGGTGACCCCCAAGCATAAAATTATTTCGTTGCTACTTCATAACTGTCATTTTGCTATTGTAATGAATCGGGTGACCCTTGTGAAAGAGGTCCCGACCCCCAGGTTGAGAACCGCTGCTCTAGAGGTTCTCTCACGAGAGCACTCGCTTCCACCCCTGCTGGTTTGGGTGGGATGTTACTCCTCCTTTGAACACTGTCTCAAAGGTAGAGCCAGCTGGTCTATGTATGGAGAGTGGCTGAATTGAAAATAATAAATCAAACCGAAAACTTGATAACTTGATGTAGGAGATAAAAGCTACTTCTGTGTAGCTTGGGGTCCCCCTGCCCAGCATCCTTTTCTTACTAAAACTCTTCTTCAATGATTGCTACCTACCCCTTCAAGGGCAGCACACTCAGCCCATTCGGATGTAGTTTTACCATATGGCTCCAAGCCTGGGCACCACACAGCTGGCTAGCGTCATACAAAGGTACACACACACACACAAGTTTGCCCGTGGACGTCAGGGGCCTTCCTATGATGCCTGAATTCTTTTCAGCTCCTTATCCAGGGATTAGCAAGGCCTGGGTGGGGAGCCTTGGTTTCTACCAGGCCCATGTGGCTGTCTAAAACATCACCTGAGGCCACAGAGAATCATCACTTTAGTAATGAGCCTGCTGCATCCGGTCACTCCATTGACCTCCCGGGGGGTTCCTTTTGAGGCTCCTCATGTCCTCCTCAGGTCGTATGCTCGAGCCCATGGCTCTGAGTGAGCAGAGCCGATTGTCGTGGCTTGCCCTGACACGAAGCCCCGCCTTTCTGCACAGACTCCTTGTCCCACAAGTTCCTATCACTACTGATGTTTCTCCGCCGGCTGTGGGATGCTACGTTGAGCCGCGTCTCCTCAATGCCCTTCAAAAAGACCCTGCTGGCCGCTGTGATCCTCTGCCTCCTGGTGGTGAAGTTTGACCCAGGTGAGTGATGATGCCTCTGCCCTCCTGCCTTCCTTGGCGCCGGGCAGTTAACAGGGCCTGGCTTGTGAGCGCAGTGCTTTTCAGCACTCCCACCCAAGAGCCCTACTGGGGACGGAGGCCCTTCTGTACCTCTTCCCTCTGGTGCAGCCTCACCGGGAAGCAGAGGCTGGGCCTGGGAACCCTGTGAGTAGTTCACCCCGTTGAACCCTGGAGTCTGAACCCCCAAGTCAGCAGCTCTGTCCAGGCGTGATTGCTGACTCCCAGGCCAGTCGCTGTGAGCCGACCGGGCTCAAGGCCATGATCCCGTGTGTGTGGAGCGCCCCAGAGGGGTTTCACACAGCACACAGCAATGCACCCATTTCTACACATACCATGCAGGCACATGGGGAGGACGTCCTTCAAGTTGTGCAACCATCTACCTACCGCCTCCTCTTTCATGTCGACTCATGGTCCTGCGCGGGGCCTGTCTAATCTTGGGAGGCACTGCTGTCAGTTTGACCCCAGACAGGTAGTTCTTAAAAGAGCACCATGCTCCGGGCACACACCAGGTGCCTGTGTTATCGGGAGAATCAGAACAAGCATCACCGCTCTCTTTTACATGCGTGCAAACGTGCCAAGACTACAGGGGGCCTAATGCAAAATATGTGCTTTTCATAATGAAGAGGGGGCTGCCAGCGAAACTGTTCCCCACTGCGAGGGCCGCAGAAAGCCTGAGCAGAGGGAGAGGGGCTCCAGCTTGGCCCAGTGGGGAGCACAGATCTTGGGTCTCTCTGGGTCCTGGGAAAGTGAACCCCCTTGAGGTCCAAGCCTCCAGACCCCGCTACAACTGCTGTTTCTTGCCTTAACCTTTAGATTTCCCCTTTTTCCGTTTCTCTTGTTCACCCAGCTTTTTTCTCTTTGGTCATAACCTCACAGTTGTCCTTGTAATCCCCTCCCTAAAGGCTGCGTGGAAATTCCCTCTGAACTGCTTGATGCAGGGTTTATGGAAGAGTCACCGGATAGCTTTCAGGAAACCTGCGGCTAGTTTATCTTCATTCTTCGTCTACTTTGTTCCAGAAACATAAGCATTGAGAAAGCGCCCGTGAAGATTGCAGCCTCAGAAAGGCGATACAGGGTTACAAGGAGTCCAAATCACATCCGTGGCAGAGGGTGGGGGTGGCTCTTACAAGGAGCCCTGTGGCGCATTAAGTGGCTCAGTAGATAAGGCCAGTTGTGTGAGCCCACCAGCCACTCCGAAGAAGAGAGAGGTGGCAGCCTGGTTCTGTCAAGATTTACAGCCTCTGTTTTCTAGGGTCACCGTGAGTCAGCCTCGGCGCGATGGCAGCGGGCTTGGTTGGGTTTGGGTACGGCTCTCATACTCCCTGTAGTCTCATAATCACTAATCCCCTACGTGGGTAGGGCACAGGGCCATTTGAACTTGCCCCTCAGGCCGCTCAGGACTTCTTCAGGAGGGCCTGAGCTTCGGCAGCCTTCTTGACCCACTGCAATGATGGTGGTGTGGCGGGAGAGGAAGACTTGCCTTGGCGAGCAATTCGAATTTCAGGAGAAAGACTTAAAGGAGATAGTTAACAGCTGAAGGGTCCGGAGGTGCAATTGTACGGCGATAATGTCTAAAGGTCATAGTAAAGTCATAGAAGATAGGAGAGAGAATAATATAAAGGAGTCAGACACATTTCATAGTAGCGTGCTCACCTCTGGGATGGCCATGATCTTAGGATCATGGTCCATGGAGAGAGAGAATTTATTTCCAATCAAGGCATAGATACACTTTCAGGGACATGCAAGCCCCCCCAGTTATGTCAAAATGGGAAGGGGCTGTATAATAGGCATACATCAATTGGAGGGTGACAAGCTAGGGGTGTACACGCAATCGAAGAGTCGGCACTAAGGGTACACATGTGACAAGATGGGCGGACCCTAGATTCAAGATGGCAGCCCAACTCTGGTCTTCCTTGAGTTGACTTGTCTCTGGGCTCTCCTTCAGGGAAGCAATCCACTATCCTTATCGGCAGGGAGAGGGGGCCCCCTGAGGTGGGACAGACAGTAGGGTCTGATACCCTCAGGGTGATTGCCTCTAAGCAGCTGACCACCTATCATGCTAGCAAGCAGTGTCCTAGGCCTGGCATACAATATAGGGAACAATTTGGGGGAAAACCCTTTTGTATCCCACAATAGAGTGCCAGTCTCTTTCTTTAAAGACAAAGGCTCCCCCCCTACTTTTTGAGAAAGACATCTGTGCCTCCTGTGTGAAAAGATCCCATGAAACCCCCACAACAGCAATTTAGGTCAGGAAAGAACAACACAGCTGCAATTGCAGTGAGGTAGTGCTGGATTTTCCTTTCTTTGCCAAGACCACTGTGTTACAAACGAGAAGCACAACAGTGAAAGGCTTGGCAGTTAACCCAGAGGTCGGTGGTTCAAACCCACCTGGTGGCCTAGGGGAGAAAGATCTCCAACCTATGCCAGCACGGCCGCAGCCTGGCACGCTCTGCTCCGGGGAGGACTGCAGCTCTGCCACAGGCAACACATGGAGGCCATGTGGACTTGATGCCACGCCACAACCGGATAGAAATAGGTGTGATGGTCACCTGGCGCAGACTCGGGGACGATCACTGTTCTTGGATCTTAAACACTTAGGTTAAACCTGGATCTCTCCTCAGCCAATGTGAGGTCACGGTAATTCAAGTGAAGAAGAGAGACCCCGGACAATGTACTGTAGAGAAAGCACGAGTCTGTCTTGCTGGGCTTGGAGGAGGAGTAAGCCACATAGGCACAGACATGGAAACCAGGATGTTGTACAAGCCTCAGTTCCCAAGGGGTGGGGAGAGGGCCCTGAGTGCGGAGGAGGAGGGCGGAGGAAAGGTGGTTCATAACAGTCTTCCCTCCTCCCTGCAGCCTCGCCTTCGTCCCTGCCCTTCCTCTGCAAGCTGGCTCAGCTCTTCCATCGGCTCCGGGAGGCCGCGTTTGCCCCCCTCTACCGGCCCCCTGTCCAGGACTGAGTGGTCCTTCCTCAGGAACCTCGTCTTCTCCATTCCCCACCAGCACAGAAGCGGGGTCACTCCGTCCGTTGCCTAACCTGGATTCAGTTGGATCCCCCTGGGGGTGGGGCCAGCTCGCTCCAGGGAGTGCTGATCCAATCATTTGAACTGTGTCTACCTGCCTGAATGCCCTCTCTTGGAACCCCATTTTTCTTGGGCTCGTGGGTAATGTGGAAACCAAGTGGGGGCCGAGGGGCCAAGTCCTTCAAAACAGGCCTTACACCCAGAGGCCCCTGGGGAAGAGGATTAGGAAGGAGGAGCGTGTCCCTGAAAAACCTTGCATCTGGGCTAAGTCAAAGAGTGAAGTTGTTCATGACGTTGGAAGTTCAGAAAACTCGAGAGAGTGACTTCTGTCTGTTCATGTGCTTGGAAACTCCATCTCTGAGAAGCAGGCCATCAGAGGCCTGAGAGGGCCTCTCTGTGACCCCTCACTGCTCCCTGCAGGTCTGGCATGTTCCCAGGGGCCCCCAGGTCTCTCAGGCCTCATACTGTTTGGACCAGGGCACGGCTTCCAGAACCACTCAGGTGACCGTTGGAAACAAAGTCGGCTGCCTGGCTCTGAGCACTGGGTAAAGCGATCTTGCTGGGCCTCCTGGGGTTCAGTTCGGCCTTCCAGGTTGCCAGTGGCCAGCTCTCTCTGTGCTGTTGCACTCAGTATCTGCCCACCCGGCCCTCCTGTGCGTCCCCTTCCCGCAGCAGGAGTGTTTCTGTACTGTGTCCGGTGGCTCGCTCACAGTGTCTGCTTGCTTCCTTAGCAGACACTGGGGTGTGTGCCCCGCCCCCCTCCTGTGCCCTGCTGTCCTAGTTTTGTGCCGTTGTCTGTATAACGCACACGGTCTCTCGCTGGTGTGGCCTTCAGAAGTAGGCCAGCCTCCAAACCAAGTCCGAACAGCTGAAAATGGAACTGGGTAATCAGGTGAGCTGGAAGCATGCCTGGAAGGGGGGCACCTTGGGAAGAAGGGACGTGAGACTTGGAGGCAGTGAACAATAAAACCGGAGAGGGAGGCAGCCTGAGCTTTCTGTCACGCACACAGTCTCAGGCACTGGGCCGTCCTGCCCAGGGTGCAGCAGCTGTGGGGTCAGGACGGTGGAGCGCTCCGAGGAGCAGGGCCAGCCTCAGTGGTGGCAGTGCCTCAGTCAGGGATCCCAAAGATTTATAGGAAATCTTTCCCTTGGTGTAGGAGACCTGGTTGTGTAATGGGTGGAGCTCTTGACTGCTTACCCAAAAGGTTGGCTGTTTAAACCCACCCACTGCCCTGTGGGAGGAAGATGTAGCGGTCGGCTTCTGGAAAGATTCTAAACCAAGCTCACTGCCATTGAGCCCATTCGGACTCACGTGACCTCATAGGTCGGAGCAGAACGGTCCCTGCAGGGTTCTGACATGGACACCTTACAGGGGTAGAGAGCCTCGTTGTTCCCTGAGGGGTTTCAAACTGCCCCGAGAGGCAGTTCTATGCTGTCCTAGGGGCCCCTCGGGTCACAGTGGGCTCCACGACAGTGGGTTTGGTTTTTCAGGAGCTCGCTTTAAAAAAAAATGGGTAGAGAGTCAATCAACCTCACAGATCCTTGGGACAATCTGATCCTCGGGGAGTGGTCCAAACCTTAGGAAACCTACTTTTAGAAGTAGGCTTTTATGTGGAGCTTAGAACTTGGGAGAGAAAGGGAGGCAGTTGAGCTTCGAGATGCATTCAAAAGAATGATTTCTCTAAAATGAAACTGCTTCTGTTCAAGATCCTCCACCAAGTTCTGTAATGGCTTCCAAGTGGCCCCCAGGAGAAAGCTCAGGTGCGGCCTCCTGGCGATGCAGGCCTGCCAGGCACCGGCTTCAAGTAGCACCTCCACTTTCTCCAGGGCCTCTCTCGTTGAGCATGCCGCCCTCCATGCACAGCCAGTCACAGCTCTCTGGGCACCCCAGGCTTGCTCTTAACCTTGCTGCCCCCAAGAAGCCCTTTCTGCCTGTCTGGCGAGCTCCTCAGCCTTCAGGCCTTGACCCGGGCTTGCCTCCACCGGCTTCCTTCCAGAGCCCTTGGTCCCTCCTGTGGGAGTGGCTCCATGGCCGTACCCTCGGTGACCGTGAGCTCTCTGCCGTTTGGTTTGTGCTGGTAAGAGCTGGGGCTCTGCCCGGGGTGGGGTGTCTGAGTTGGGGTCTCTAACTCTCAGTGAGATAGTAACTGAATTCTGGCCGCAGCGTTCTCGCTGGTCAGAGCCTGGGCTCTTTAGGGATTGTTTGGTGAGTAATGAGATCACGGAGGTGCTTAGCACACACCCCTGCCCCCGGCACAAGTGCTCGGGAATGGTAGCTGCCACCAGAATTCACGGTGCCCCCGTGCCTGGCAGAGTGCCTGGGAGTCGGGTGCAGGGTCGTTGGATGGAGTGACTCCAAAGAGTTATTGGGAAGAGGCTGATGCACTGTGGGGTCACAGTTTGGTGCTCATCTCCAACTCTGCCACCCCTCCTACCTGTCCAGTCGGGAGGAACTCAATCCAGACCGCTCCAATGACCTTGACCTTTCCCAAGGATGCAGGTTAGTGCTCGGGGTCACAAGTGAACCAAGGTTTCCTGGCTCGGCTCACCCCTACCCTTCTGGGGCAGCTCGCTTTGCCACGTGTGGCTCCCGAGCCTTGGTGCCACTCATGCAAAACCACAGGCGCTCAGTCGGTGCCACACGCGGTTCCCAACACTTAGTGCTAACAGGGCAGTCGATGCAAACTGGCTCAGTCATTTCTTTTTACAGTGACTACATGTTGAAACAGTAAATCTCTTGGAGAGCTCGGGTCGAATACAATATACTATGAAAATGCATCCCACCTGTTTCTCGGTGTTTTCTAAAATGGGACTTGAATACAGTGACCCACGATGGCTCACATCTGTGGCTTCCGTCACCTGTCTGCCGACACGATGCTCAGCACACACTTCCAACTGTACGAGGCAACAAGCCCTGGAAGTGGACAGCAGAGGCGCACCTGCGTGGGAAACTGCCTCGTGGCATATCCAGGAAGGTCACAGACGACCTATGCCCTACCATCGAGTCTCTCGACTCAGGGACCCTTGGGGGCAGAGTAGAACTGCTCCCCGGGGTTTCCGAGGCTCTACGTCTCCCGGGAGCAGAGCAGGTCATCTATTAGAGAGAGACCATGGCTGTCAGGTGGTTGGTGACCCCATGCGTGTCCGTAGAACTGCATTCCAGAGGTTTGCTTCTTGGTTAATGGTTTCATGCTTTAGTTTTTATTATGGTTTAGATGAATGCTTACAAAGGCCCTTTTCCATCTCCCAAGGCCCATTTCCACAAGGCAGAGTGAGACAATGCCTCTACCTTCCATCCCTTCTGGAGCTCTGATGGTGTAGGGTTGTGGTGACCCCCCAATCATAAAGTTATTTTAACTGTCATTTTGCTACTGTTATGAATTGGGCGACCCCTGTGAAAGGGGTTGAGAACTGCTGGTGTAGGGGCTACTTGGGCTGCTAACCACAAGGTCAGCAGTTCAAAACCACCAGCAGCTTCACCAGAGAGAGACAGGTGTTCTACTCCTGTGGAGAGCTACAGTCTTGGAAACCCATAGGACCAGTTTTCCTCTGTCCCCTAGGGTCGCGTGGGCCAGAATGGACTCCATGGCAGAGCGCCCACCCCTTGCTGCCCTATTCTGACATGGGTAGGGCCCTCGATTTCTGTGACTGGGCTCTATACCACACGGTGACCACACAGAACCCACAGATGTTGCACTTCATTAGCAGGTTGATTAGGGAACCTAACAGGTTACAATTCAGATGAGACATGCTCAGAGTTGTTTAATCAGGACAGCCCATTTTCTGTCGTGCTCACAGGCAGATCTGAGTCTGGCTCTTAGCTTCTTGGCCTGGCCTTTACCCTGCTCAAGCAAGGTTACAGAGCTCTTCTGGGCTGCTAATATATGCCTTGCAGGCACGCAGTTCAGCTCAGTCAGCAAACTCAGCTACCCAGTTAAGTGTCCGGCATGCACCATAAGCCAGCCTACTGCCCCCAAACATTTAAAAATGGTTAAAATAGCAGGGTGAATAAAGCTTTAACTCTGACATGAACAGGTGGAGCCTGTTGTGATTCTGGCCTGGCCCCCCAAAATAAAAAAATCAGCTGTTAGAACTACCCGTGGCTCTGAGGGAGACTACAGACTTGGAAACCCTATGGGGCAGTTCTCTGTCCTGTGGAGTCTATGAGTCAGAGCCGACTTGAGTCCAATGGGCTTGGGCTTTATGGCAGGCTGCTTTAGTCTGACCAGTCTCCCTCCCCACCTACCCTCTGGAATGTAATGGATGGTTTCCGAGAAAATGCAGGGCTCTTTTCGCATCTCTCTGTGTCCATCTGAGTAGACTAGAGAAACAAACTCATAGACACTATGTGTATAAGAAAGAGCTTTATATACAAGAGCAATTGAATATTGAGAAGACAGCCCAGTCCAGATCAAGTCCATAAGTCTGATATTAGCCCATATAGCTGATACCAATCTATAAATTCCTCTTCAGACTCATGCAACACATGCAATGAGACCAAATGCAGGAAGATCACAGGCCAGTGGGTGGAAAGTCTTG